GGTGCTCAGCCCCCTAGGCACAGTTGGGATCTCTGGGGAGAGGCAGCGACAATTTGGCAGACAAAAAAAAAAAAAAAAGACGTGATTGATGGGGAGGGTAGATGGCTAGCGAGGAGAAAGCAGCCTTCCAGTTAAAGATTGGCCCTCAGTTTAAAGGTCAGCTAGGGGCAGGCTGGCCTCAGGTGGAGTCAGGATCAAGGGGAGGAGCAGCTGCAGGGCAGGACTGGAGTGCTCTACAACTCATTCAGGTCAAGCAGAGTCTGGTCCAGCATCCTTTGTGTACAGAGGTACTCCTCTTTGGTGCATTTCAGTTTATCTTCCAAATCATCAATTGTCTTTTCCAGCTTGCCTACTGATCTCTCAGCAAACTCAGCACGGCTCTCAGCCTCCTTGGGTTAATCAGTAAGAATCTTAATCTCTTCCTCATATTTGTCTTCTTTTTGAGAGTACTTTTCTTCACCAGCACTCAGACACTTCAGGTTCAGGTCCATCAGTCTGATCTGCTCATTTGTTTCTTGGCAACAGGATTCTGCCAACTCAGCTCTCTCTTCTGTGGGTTCCAAGTCCCCTTCAATAATCACCAACTTATGAGCCACCTTCTCATACTTCTGATCTGCCTCTTCTGCAATGTGCTTAGCTCCTTGAGCTGGATTTCCTGGAGTTCCATCTTTTCTTCATCTTTTAAGGCTTGGTTTTCAGTAACCTTCATACCTCGCTCGCTTTCATCAGCAGCTTTCTCTGCCTCCTCCAGCTTTTGTATGGCAGTGGCCAAGCACTCCTGAGCACTGTCCAACTCCTTTTCAACCAGCTGGATCCCATGGTTCAAGGAGGCCACCTCTGCCTCAGCGTGTTCCTGGGCCCGCTTTTCTCCCTCCACTTCCCGCTGGAGGCGTTCGGCCCTCTCCTTGGCATCATAGGCCGTCTGCTGCAGAACCTGGATCTTGTCACCGCCTCGATGATGGTGATGATGGTGATGATGGTGGTGATCCCTGCCGTGGTTCGCTCATACTCCAGTTCCTGCCTGCTCTACCCGATGTAGCATCTGCTTCTCCGCATTTGTCTTTTACATGCAAGATTTATCTAACTATATTTAATATAATTGCTGATGCGTTTAGAGATACATCTTCCTAACTTACTATTTGCTCCATCTGTGAACGTTCATTCATTCTTGTCTCCTTTATTGATTTCAGTAAAGTAATATTTAATCAATGAGGTATTTATAAGTTTAATTTTTTCTTATTTCCCCATGTTAGTTTTTTTAGTTATACCTACTTTTAACTTCCAGGTTAAAACATATAGAAGGCTTTGAATTCTTAAATGGATTTGTTAGTGACCTTTCTCTGGCATGGCACTGTAGGATGAGCATTGGAATGGTAACCTCAAGGTCGGTGGTTCAAACCCACCAACTGTTCTTGGAAACCCTATACAAGGTCCTTATAAGTCAGAACAGTCTCAATGACAGCACTGAACAATAACAAAGGAGTTCTCGTGGTGTGGTGGGTTATGCATTGGACAGCTAACTGCAAGATCAGCAGCAGTTTGAATCTACCAGCTTTTGGAAGCTTTCTGCTCTTATAAAGATTTACAGCCTCAGAAACCCTGTATAGGGTCGCTATGAGTTGAAACTGACTCAACAGCACACAAACACCACTTCATAGATAATGCAAAGATCTGAGAATACTGTAATTCAGGCATTTTAATTCTATGTATCCTTTAGACCCCCAAATAAATTATTATTGTTGTTTTGTACAATCAATATTACATTTGCCCATATACTCCCTTTTTCCATTGTTCTTCATTCCTTTCAGAATGTCCTTGCTTACACCTGGGATATATTCCCTTTAGTGTGGCTGTGTTGCCATAAATTCTCTCAGGTCCTACTTATTTCAATGTATCTTTATTTTACTTTTGGTTTTTAAGTGATTTTGACATGATTATATAATTCTAGCTTAGTAGTTATTTCTATTCAACAGTTTAAAAATGTAATTTTATTGTGTTCCACCGTGGAGTCTTGGTGGCACTCTGGGTTAAGACTTAGAGTCTCGGAAACTCGAAGGAGTCATTCTCCTCTGGTCTATAGGGTTGTTAGGAGTTGGAATCAACTTGATGGTCATGGCTAAGTTTTCTTCCACCTTTTCTACCACCCATACATACTATTGGAGCTCTGATAGCATAGTGGTTACGAACTGGGTTGCAAGCGCAAAGTCAGCAGTTCAAAACTGCCAGCTGTTCTGTGGGAGAAAGATGAGGCTTTCTGCTCTCGTAAAGATTTATAGCCTCGGCAACCCTGTTCAGGGTCACTATGAGTCGGAACCGACTCCACGGCACATAACAACAACAACAACACACATACTATTGTTCTTTGTAAAATTAAGGTGTTTTCCCCTTCTCTGGCTATTTTAACAGTTTTATTCCATCTTTGGTGTTCATTCATTCATTTTGATGTGCTTACATGGGCTTTTTTCATTGATTTATTTCCTTCTTTGATGTTGTTGTTCAGTACGTCAAGTCTTTTCGGACTCATAGCAACTCCATGTACAGCAGAAGGAAACACTGCCCAGTACTGTTCCATCCTCACAATTGTTATATTTGAGCACATTGTTTTCACTGTGTCAGTCCACAGAGTTGAGTGTCTTCCTCTTCTCTTCTTTGCTGACCCTCTACTTGACCAATGTCCTTCTCTAAGGACTGGTCTTTCCTGACAACTTGTCCAAAGTATAAGCCAAAGTCTGAGCACCCTCACTTCCAAAGAGCAGCCCACAATGATTCTTCCACAACAGATTTGTTCATTCTTCTGGCAGTCCATGGTGTTGTCAATATTCTTTGACAATGCCGTAATTCAAAAGCATTGATTCTATTACAGTCATCCAGTCTTCACATATATATGAGGTGATCTTTCAATGGCTTGATTTAAGCACACCTTAGTCCTCAAAGTCACAGCTTTGCTCATTAACATTTTACAGAGGGCTTTTGCAGCAGATTTGCCTAATGCAGTATGTAGTCTGATTTTTCCTGTAAGTCTTGATTGTGGATCCAACTAAAATGAAATCTTTGACAACATCAACCTTTTCTGTTTATCGTGATGTTATTTATTGGTTCATTTATGAGGATTTCCATTTTCTATACATTGAGATGCAATCACACTGAAGGGCTGTGGTTTTGTATCTTCATTAATAAGTATTTCAAGTCTACTTCACTTCCAATATTGTTGTTGTTAAGTGCTGTCGAGTTTGTTACGACTCATAGTAACCCTAAATAGGGTTTCCAAGGAGCATTTGGTGAGTTTGAACCACTGACCTTGAAGTTCAGACTGATCTTGTGGTCCAGTGCTTTATCCTATAGTCACCAGGATTGTAGTGCATCCTAAATGTGTATTTGATGTCTTGTTAGTACTTTTAAATTCATAGCTAATAATTCAACCATTATTTCATCTTCTTTAATGTGTCATTCTTTCAGTATCCATGATTTATAGACCAGGGTTTTTAAATAACTATGATTGATATGTCTAAGAAAAAAAAAAAAAAAAAAAGACATGATGGGGAATTTCATCAGAGAACTATAATACACAAAAATAATCAAATATAGATTTTAGAGATGAAAAATAGAATATATGAAATTTAGATATCAGTAACTACCAGCTGTTCTGTGGCAGAAAGACGAGGCTTTCTGCTCCCTTAAAGATTTACAACCTCAGAAACCCTGTACACAGGGTCGCTATGAGTCAGAACCGACTCCACGGCACATAACAACAACAACAAATAAATTGAATTGCAGATTAGACACAGTAGAAGACAGAATTATTAAGTAGAACTAGGTCTGAAGAAAATATCTAGCCATAAACTGAATGTATAGATGAAGCAAATGCAAATTATATTTTATGTCCTATTTTAGCTTTCCCTAAAATATCATAACTTTTGTCAACATTGAGTCAATAGTCTTCAGAGCTTTTGTTCACTTGTGCTGAGAAGCTGCTGACTGTAAAAAGATGAAGAGCCAGAGTCCAGGCTCCTCAACTGCTTTCCAATAAGAGGGTGGATAACAGTTGATATGGTTTAGATTCAAGATGGCTCCTGGGGTTAAGTGCTGGAGACTAGTTACAAGGTCAACAGTTCAAACCCACCAGCTACTTCTCAGAATCTACGTGAGGGTATCTGTTCCTATGAAGATCTACAGTCTTGGAAGCTATATGGAGCAGGTGTACTGTATCCTGTAGGGTTGCCATGAGTGGAAATCTACTCTAAAGTAGTGAGTGTTTGGTCCTGCGTCACTCATTTGTACTACCTGCTGGACGTTTAGGCATTTGAGTGCCTGATCCACGTTGATAGACTCTAGTCATAGAATGAAGAACAACTTAGACAGTTGTTCTACTCTGAGAGAAAAACAAAACAAAGAATTATATTAAAAATAATGAGAATTTTCATAAATACTCTGAAGGGAAAATAGAGAGTATACTAAGAAGTCTGCTGTAAGTTTCTAGTTTGGGCATCAGTGAAAATTCCTCCCAAGGAAAGGGTACAGAAACAGAGATCTGAAGATAATACACTTTAGACAGATGAAGGACTAGGGGTGTGTGGGGTCAGGGGAGTCTGTAAGGTGATAGGAAGGAATGTCTAAGCAGAAAAAACAGCACATGTAAAGTCAAGGTCAGTTGGGCAGATTTGGGGACTCAAATAAAGCCCCATATTTGGAGCACAGACATGGAGGGAGAAGAGTTATATGGGAACCACTGAATCTGGATATGTGTATAGGGTCTTGAGTGACACTACAGACCAAGTAGCTAAAAACAATCAACCATTTATTTTACTGTTACTTGATGGTATACAAATTTGCACCCTCTGACTCTTGTGGTTGAAGTAAGTCATCACAATATGAAAGTAAGATGTTAATTATGAAGTTATAAACTAGCATAAAGCCACAAAGGTAGGTATTGATTTGGCATGCAGAAATATCATTGAATTAATTTCTGTATGTTTCTTTACCTTCCATCTTAGCTTCCAGAGTCCACTGCTTGAAAAAGTCTGGGAAGCTGACTTGGAAGCATGTCAGCTCTTTATTCAGAGCATGCAGCTGAAAGAAGCCGGTGATGGCCTGAGTGTCGAGGATAGGGGACTGAGGAATGACTTGGAGAGCGCTGCCATGTCTGCCGCTATGGCCATACCACCTCTACCCTCCTCAGAAGACAAGAAGAAGACCCCTTTGCAAGCAGATGATGAGTGGAAGGCTCAGCAGATCCCGTCTCCTCACTGTTTGGTCAGCAGACAGGAAGAGGTACCTGTTCTTTCCGCATCGCCTCATAGGTGGCTTCTCCTCTGGGGGCTGCTTTGAGACCAGACTCCAAGTGGGAGCAGTGCATATGCGATAAGCATCCCACTTAGCCATAGAACTTTAAAAGTTTTAATAACTTTTTAATATGGATACAAAATAATGTAGACTATTTTGACATATTTAGCACTGATTTTAGTTATGAACTGGGCTGCTAATCTCACAGTCAGCAGTTCAAAACTACCAGCTATTCCATAGGAGAAAGATGAGGCTTTCTGCTCCCGTAAAGGTGAGAAGGCACTCAGAATGTGACTGGGAAAAAAAATGCCTCCTCAAAGTAGAGTTGACCATGATGATGTGAATAGACTTAAGCTCAGGGGAGAAAAGCGCAAGGAACCTTCATTTGCTGATGGGCCACGATTTAAAATGAAGAGAAACAGCTGTAAACATCCATTTAAAATCGAAACATGGAATGTACGAAGGATGAATCTGGGAAAATTGGAAGTTGTCAAAAATGAAATGGAATGCATAAAC